GGCGGTAGGGCCTATAGGCCAAGGGACATCGGGCGAGCGGCCCCCGGCGCACAGGCCGAGCACAGCCCCCACGGACCGATCAAGGGAGCAGCAACAGACGGAGGAGCGGAGTGACTGTCCGCGGGATGAAATTTCGATGCGCGATGCGCAATCAAACCCCGCGCAGCCACCCTCCGCTCGATCGCCTTCGGCGGCGGGCGTCGGCGGCAGAGAGGACACGGTAGACGACCAACAAGCGAGCGGCGGGGATGCCGCACGGGCACATTCGCCTACCGCCTTAAACATTTTGGCGAAGAGCAGCGAGGCTGCAGCCGTGCCTTCGCAGGCAGCACACGTCGACGACGTGCAGCCCCACTCGGGGCAGTCGCCGACGCAATCAATGGCGACTGAAATTCTCCACTCGGATGATGACGACGGAGGCTCCACCGAAGAAATGTCAGGAGCAGAGGACACCGAGGAGGAGGAGGAGGAAATTGTTGGAGCGCCGGCGGCGGCGCTCTCTTAGCAGGTGATTCCGTTGCTGAGGTACTTGGATCGCAAGGTCGATAAATACGCCGACCCACTTCAGCCGGGATCTTACATCGAGTTAGTGCTCAGGCGGACTCGCACTAAAGTCCACACCAGCAAGCTGTTAGCTAGAGTGGACCAGGAGTTGAGGGAATTGAAGGAGAAGCATGCATGCTTGTGGGGTCAGTATAAACTTAATCAGAAATTCTACAAGTACTCCGAGAAGGTGAAGGATGAGAAACTGGACGAGCTCACCAAGGAGCAGGTGAAGGTCAAGGAAGCACTTATTTCTGAGCAGGCCCAGAATCGGATTTTGTTAGAGGAGCTCGTGCGACAGACGCGGTTGTTGGAACAATGTCAGCTCGCACGGCAGGCGGATGAGGAGTTAATCCGCAGGTTACAGTCAGAGTGTGGCGAATTGAGAGCGCAACGTGCTGAGGCCGAATCGCAATTAGTGATAATTGAAGAGGATCGCAGGAAGGAGGCGGATCGCACGAAGGTGGAGACGGCGAGGCGTGTCGCCCACTGTCTCAAGGGCTACGCCCACTGGGAAGTGAAGGCGCAGGAGAAACTCACACTGCGTGAGTTTGAATTGCGCGCAGCCGGGTTGTTGTCAGGCGACAGTAGGAGTCGGCGGAAGGTAGCAAAGAAGCTCGATGCTTTTCTGTCGAAGGCGCAGGATACCATGTCCGCCCTCGAAGTGGAGGTGTCCGCGGCGTTGCAGCGTTTGGGACTGCGCAGTCGAGCGGAAGATTGGCAGGGTAGGGAGTTAGTGCGCGGCAGTCCGCCGCGCAGGAGACGTAGTACAGGTTCCGCGGAGTGTAGTGTAGCGTGGTTCCGTGCAGGCGTGTAGCGTAGTGTAGTGTAGTGCTAGGTAGGACTTAGAAGGTATAAAATAATTCCAGGCGTTTTGCCTGGGGTTCTTTCCCATCAGAAGTGCAGATCAGGAACTCATTTCCTTTGCGTGTTTGTGTCCTTGAGTTCTGTCACCACGCACGAGGAGTTACAACTTAGCGTTCCGCATTTTGTAGCTGAAGGCCTTCGGCCGAATGTTCAGAGCTAGTACATTGGTTAGAGACTTGAGTAGTTCGGAACTGCACCTGCGGGTGACTGCCGATGCTAAGAGCCAATGACTAGTTAGATACTTGAACAGTTTCGCCCCTACACCTTCGAGTGTTTCTTTCTGATTGTACTCCCTTGGGATTTTTCCCCTGAATGCCAAAGTGAAGTTTTGCTACTTCGTGTAAGCCTTGGTTGTAAATTCAGGTTACGCTGCAGCAGGTGCCTTGAGGGTAACCCCTGTAGTATTTCTGGGAATGACAAGTGCCTGAGAATTCAAACTCTTCAATAGACTGTTGTTGTGTTACTGGAATGTTTCTCAGTGAGTCCTTCAGTGCGGACCTGTGTTCTCTGCGCGTTTTGTGAGTTGAGAGTGTTGTTCACCGCGTATGAGTGACTTCGATCCGAAGTAGGCAGTCCAAACCGGGTTTCCTACACTAGCAGCAAGCTAGTGGAAGTGTTGTAAAAGCCGGAGTTGGAAGTCACTACCCGCAGCTTCGCCGAGTGTGCTCGCGAGAGACTTTTCCCCCCTGAAATCTTGAAGTAGAGGTCCTAACGGATCTCTGGGTTGTGTTTCTGTAGTTTCAGGTGTGTGTGTGTGTGTGTGTTACGCTGCACTGTGCGACCTCCGAGCGCGCTCCGAGTGGACACTTGCAGTATTTCTGGGAGTGACAGTCGCCTAAGAATTCAAACTCCTCAATAGTCTGTTAAAACGTGACACTTTCTACCCTGTGTGTTCCTCTGTCCCTGTGGGTTCGACCTTTCTACCACTATATTGCAGTTTTAGCCTTTAGTGGGTTATTACACTCCTAATTCAAGAACGTCCAACGTTCTTACTGGTTACAACGTACGCAGCCGGCTATACGGCCTAACGGTTCGCCCTTTGCATGCGCAAATTCACGTCTCCGCACTGCGCGCATTCGCATGCGTGAATGTTGAATTCTCCCGCCGCCGCCGTCTTCCGGACTCGAGTCCGCCGCCGTGTATACGTCGGCTATGTTGTCTTTCCCTAACCCGTCCATCACCGGAGGCGTGTCGCCGTTGGCGTGGTCCTTATCCGTCGGCGCTTTGCTGGGGGCGCACATCCAGTCGGCGCGAATTACGCCGGCGCGTATTCGTACCGCTTATTTTGTCCCTTCTGCCTCGTCCATTGCTGACGGCGCATATCCCGCCGGCGCAAATCAAGCCAGCGCAAATCATGCCAGCGCATCCGGCCATCAGCGCCACGTCGGAGGCGTACATCCGGTCGGCGCGTTTCTTCCGTTGCGCAGCCGCCAAAGGCGCTTCCGACTCCGAGTTGATTTCCTCCCATGAGCGCGTGATTCCGCCAAAGGCGCATCGCCGAAGGCGTACGGGAGTCCTTTCCGACTGTGAGCCCTAGCGCGAACGGCGCATGTCCGGCTACGAGTTTTCCAACGCTCATAACTTCTTCGTCCCTGATCCATCTCCGACGCCTTGGCCTCGTTAGAACGAGCGTCCCGAGCTCTTTCTAATGCAACTTCAACCAACTGGAACTACCGTGTATTCCGCTCGTTATGAAGGTTTCCCTTTCCGCGCTAGCGGCGCATCGCCGAAGGCGCACTCATGGTCGGAAGCCTTCAGAGGTCCGGGCCGTTCTTCTGACGTCTTTAGCAAAACCTCCTCCTGAGGTGTCTGCGCCGGAAGCGTAGCTTCCTTAAACGCTGGAAGCGCGTGAGTAGAGACACCTCAGAAAAGGAGCTTTTGCCGAAGGCGCCGAAGACATTGGCGTTGGTACATCCGACTACACGATTCTTCGTGACCTCGTGACGATCTCATCAATACACTCTATTTAACGTACACTTTTCTAACTACAAACACTGTTTCGGTACTAGTTTTCTAAAATTGTTTAAATTCTGCAAAAAAAACAAAAAGTGTGTTACCACAAGCAGTCTTGTCAAATTCTTTTATCCACCGACCATCAAGAACTGAAGAATGTGGAAGAGCTGGAGACGAACATCCGATGGAAGCTCAAAAGCGATATCGGAATAAAGACGAGCAAACGGGGTCATCATGCGGACGATGATGTACGGACTGTGCATGGCCAAACCGTGAACGTGTTGGGGTATACATACATTCAACCTATTATCCCAAGAATCCTTGCATTAAAGACACCTATGACACTGTTGAACATCCACTGGAATCGGCATTTACAGGTGCTGAATTCATACTTGCACAATGCCGAGGTGATAACCATCAACCGGCTTGATAATATATTCAATGAAATTAGGGAATTGTCGGAAAAGAGGAAACAGATATAATATGACGACATATTAGGACCTACCAAACTGAGTATTTGTCATGTGCTTCAACATGAGTACACATCAAAACCACGCTACAGGTTATAGTCACAGTAGGCGTTGTGGAGTGAATTTCCTTCTCCCCCTGCCCATTTGCACATTGAGATAGCTTGATGTTTAACTTGGCCACGGTATGGATGTCTACCCTGGCGATTCACTGAACTCAGGCCTTCGCCAACTGAGCCGAGTGGCAAATCCATATCCAAATCTGCAAAGTCTATCATTGTGTAAAGGAAACACCAGGGCATATGTCGCTCGCCTGTCCAGTACCCACTCATAAGAAGCCCCTTCCTTCTAGATCCTAAATCGTACATCGACTGACCGTATTGCAGAGAGTCCAGACTGCAGGAGGATCTGAGGACAGCAAGGCGATCGTTGACATCAGCTCAGCAGAATTGCCACTCTAACCCTTGAATGATGAGTTATCCAAAAGCAAAGTTGATCTGCTCACAGCGAGCATTTGAGCAGATAGATCGCCCTTTTATAAAACTGTGGAATTCATGTACAAAAGTCAATTTCGTGTAGTTGTACTCCGGATATTCTATTCAATCCTATTTACGATAGAAGGGAGGATTCATTACATTTATGAATGGCAGAGTCTTACGATTTTGTCGTTATACTATTGATCGTTGTTAGCGTCTAGTGGCCGTGCCGGAGTGGTTATCGGGCATGACTATCATATGGGCTCTGCCCGCGCAGGTTCAAGTCCTGCCGGGCCACTTTTGAAATCTGGATTCGAAATAAATTTTCAGCCTGTTGCTGCTATTTTCTCGCTTCGAAAGCTGAATTGAAATATAGTTCTCAGCCTGTTGCTGCTAATTTCTCGCTTCGAGGGATCAATTTGAAATTTTCAGTGAATGCCATTACAGGATGCGATGCAGGACAGACCATGTTACATCTGACACATCAGAGGTGTTTAGCCATCCACACAGAAAGCTATGCATCTTATTGGTAAGGTGGTTAATGGAGCTTATAACGTTCTAGCTAGAGTCAGAGTAGCCTTGGCTATTCCGTACTCCACGGGTCTAGGCGTAAGTAACTCACTCAACATGACTGTTCAAAATTTGCAAGAGCTGCTGTCAGCGGTTCTTGTAGATTTTGAAGCTGTGAAGCCAAAATAGCGTTGGCGTTTCTTTCTCCTCTACCTGCGGTCGCGAACTAGGTGACATTCAAGAATATTGGGGAGGGAAGAGAATGATATGAGTTCTGTTCTCTCGTCCATCTCAGAGACTGCAAGCTTACAGGGAAAAGGATAGGATCAAGCGTACAAAATGAAAACGTAGAGCACCATCATTGTTTGTGAAAGTTCGCTTTGTTAGCCACTCCTGCACATCCTGAGTTCCGCACACTGACAAACTGACACATTAGAGCGATCATCTTCGAGAATGTGCACAGACCCTTTCAGTGCCCTTGAGATTTATCAAGCCTTGACAGGCACCCTCGCTCGCACTCGACGAACATTGCCTCCTTGCCTACTAGCTTCTCGCTCTCTTCTTTCCTTTTTATCTCCGATTCGGCACGCCTGGACGACCCATGAGTTCCAGTTTCAGCTCTTGCTATAAACCCACTACGATGCGCAGCACAAGTGACATTGTGGCAGCGCAGCAGTCCAGCACCTGCCTGTGCTGGACTGCTATTTGACCAATCGTGGACGACGATTGTTATTTCCCCGTCACTCCTCGCAACTGTGCACGAGGCGTTTCATCGCTTGATGCTCATTCGCCAAGTAACGCGCGATGACGACTCTTATATTATTCAATATATACGTGCATCATTCCTCTTCTCTCTCCTACAACCCCTTTACCCTCAGAAACCTTTATGAGTTTATCAATTCAGTCAAGCTGTGAGAATTTGGTACTTTTGTATCAGATATTGCTAGCAGTGACATGGTCTCTGGTGAGCAACTCTTGGGATTAGTTTTATTATTTCAGCAAATTTGCATCGTTGCAGTTCGTGCACTCGTTCTATTTTTTTGTGATGTTTGTTTCTCAGTTATGGGAATATCTATTTAATAGTTTTCAAGTTGATTTGTAGGGATTATAGTTTTGTTTATTTAGGGAAGTTTCGATTCTAGCCGATGCCTCGAAGCTGATGCTGGTGAAATATTGTTTTGCAAGTCAATATGCCAAAGTGAAATGTACACAGATTGTCCCAGCGATTGAAAATACGGTTGAGTAATAAAATTCCCGCCTTGGGATGAATGCTTGTTATCAGTTCAAGCATAAGATAATGGGTTCCTCTGCTCCTCTTCAATATGATAGATTTTTAAGGAAGCGTCGAATGGTAGCTGAATAGGAACACTTGGAAAGTAAAGATCTTGTACTTAGAGTAAACTCTTGTTTTAGTACTGCTGCTTATCGACTTCGTTACATCCATATAAAGTTGGGCAGACTTAACTTACAGAGAACTTGATGAAGAATTTGGATTGATGTCACAGGTGGGGTTTTCGTCAGTGGAAGCAGGATCCGTTCGGCTGAAAAATACTGGCAGCATTATGGTGAAAAATATTTTGGATAATTATTACTGTATAATAGACTTTGGGATCTTCGTCTATGAATTTAGATTTGGCTATGGCTCATTGGCTGTAGGTTCGAAAGTGGCAAAGAAGACTTTTTCGGGTTGCGAGGTCAGTTGGAATTCTCCTTCCAGTTTTTTTTCGCAGTTATTTCTGCAACGATCATTGCAAGAGCTGTGGCTGAACACACACAACTGCTTGCTTACCTGGTGTACAGGTAGTGATCCCTCCCAGTTGAATCGGGTTGATAATACTGCAATAAAGCTGATGAGAGAATTTGCCATTAGGTAAATAATCTCACTATTTTCCAATTCTCATATTGGTTCAATTGAGTCGTAATCATCACGATTAGTATTAGAAACCGATGGGCAAGACAGCATCTATTAATATATAAATGTATAATAAAACACAGATACGAGATGTGTAGCCACGAGATGTAGATGTAATAGGATTTTTCAATTGGGCTCGGATGAGACTAACTAATAACAACTTCTTCTAATAGTCAACGAGCTTATGAACTTGATGCGTGCAGAAAACTGTGTGATCCAACTTTTTAGAATGTTCGCCGATAGATCAGAAACCATGGAACCGGCATCCTATTGCCTGGAAAATACTGGATGAGAGTTTGGATCACAATAGAAGAACAAGGCAAACGAGCTTCCGATGATGAAGACTCAAGAGGAGAAATTTTCTTGAATGTACTTCTTACTCATCGAAGACACATTCTAGAGTACTTTAACAAAATTCTTGCTTTAAAAAAATCTTGAACAACGCTAAAAGCAAAAGGAATCGGAAAATTTTAGAGCGGACTTAAATCATGAGTTGCATTCTTAGTACATGCAAAATCATCCAATTTTTTTGCATGTATTATAGATCCGACTGGCTACACAAAATTTTCCTCCTACATATCACAAAGCTCTCAGCTGTATTATTATAATTAACGTTTTGAATGAAATTTCTTTTATATTTGTAGATGTAAACTTGTTCGTATGAGACATGTTATCTTTTTTGTTCTTATCTATTATGAAAAAATTTCTATTCTTTTGCTTGGGTACAATCTTGCAATCCAATTTATTTTAAATGACTCATTCAGCACAATACATTGGGGTGATTTAATCATTTCATTTCAAATATAGATATATAAATTAATCATCAAAGTCATAAAATATTTATATAAAATGCAACAACTTACTCCATTACATGTTCAAATCTAAGCAAATAAGATATTAACGATTTTTCAGTATAATTTCTGAAATCGCTATAGAATTCTCAAATTATAAACTTAGGTTGTATCTCGTCACATAACAATTGATGGTACATTACCAAACCTAAATATAAATATACAAATCATAGCTATTGACATTATAGCAGCTTCATCCTTCAGTCCTAGCTTCAAGTGTTTCCTAAGGTTTTATTCTTAGACCGGCTGGCCACAGACTGACATGATTGGTTCCAACTCGTTGATCGGCCATCCGATAGTAATTCTAGCTATCTAATACTAGCCTTCTGTGTTTTTTTTCAATATGTTTCTATATCTCTTGAAAACGACTAGACCTGAAGACGAGGCATGAAGACACTCCACCATTAACAGTTAGTGTTGGCGGGTCTACGAATAAAGTTGATGAGATGTTGCAGCTTTATTGCAATATTATCAACCTGATTTAAACTGGAAAAAGTGTACACTGCTATTTGTTGCACAAGTTCGTAATCTTCACTCTTTTGTAGGCTATCGTACAAGCTTCTACTTAATCCCAGCCGCTGCCAGCCAAATTGAAATTACATCATCTTCTAAATGTGTGTACAAGAAATTTTTCATCACGCTACACGTAGATCTAAGTCGGCACTAAAGAGACCATAGTCAGACTGAGCATGGTAGATGGTTCGATGTTTTGGAATAAAAACCTGTTTCTTAAGGATGGGATCAAAGTGACTAAACCGATGACAGTCGAGAACCCAATTGAAGCTCCTATTGCGAAGTCCGTCACGGAAATACCATGAAAATACAAACTCCACGACTGTGTCCGTTGAGTGACGGGACTAGGATCAAGCTCACCATCGTCAATAAAAGCAAAAGATTCGCAGGGCTTGTAAATGGAATCTCCGCAAAGTTTTGGATTCCCTGGAAGAAAAGATTCAGAATAGCGCGTGTTGAATGAATTTGCAACAGGAATAGGACCGGATAGTTGATTCAGCGACAAGTTGAGGTAACTCAATCGCAATTTGCTCAGTGACACTGGAATGGGACCCGAAAGCTGGTTTCTCGATAAATCCAACCCTAATAAGTCAGCAATTTCTTCCAGCTCTGGAGGTATAGATCCCTTGAAATCGTTGTCGTCCATGAACAAGTACTTCAATGTACCCAAATCCGTAGGTAGTTCTCCGGTAAGTTGATTGCTAGAAATATCTAACAACGCTAGTGCTTTAAACAAGTATACGTACTCAAGAGTAGGTTTTCCTTTTCTTAGTGATATTATCACATCCCGATTCATGTTTGGAATTGTAATCCATGACATGCGATTAACTTCCAAGGGGATCTTGTAGGAGATCAATCCTGAGAGGTTCTGAGGCAATTCACCGGTGAACGCGTTGGAAGAGAGGTCAAGCACTTGCAATGCAGGCAATTTCCAAATTAAAGAAGGTATGGAGCCGCTGAAGTAGTTGGACCCCAGACTCAACACTCGCAATCTACTCCAAATATTCAGGCCAACGAACTTTGGCATCACCCCCAACAAGTGGTTATTACTCAAATCCAACCAGTCCAGAAAAGAGCATTTCCATATTTCGACAGGAAAGAGTCCACTGAATTTGTTCCCGCTAGCGGACCACACTGACAGATGTTCAAGTGCGGAGAAATTGATGTTCGTGAGCGGTCCTCTCAGAGAATTGTGACTCAGTCTGATGATTTGCAGGCCACTGCAGTTGTGTAGGGTAACTGGAATATTGCCGGTGAGATTGTTGTTGAAGAGGTATAGGAACGCCAAGCTCCTTAAGTTCCCCAAATCCGGTGGAATTTCACCTGTCAGATGGTTCCTGTGCAGTCCTAAGAACCAGGTTGTGGTAAGGGTTAGATTGTTATCTCCTAAGTTCATTTGTTGAACATTCTGCAGGTTTCCCAAGCTAGCGGGAATCTCTCCCGTGAGCTTATTGTCATTCAACCACACCAAAAGCAACTTTTTCAGGTCTCCAAGCTCTTCAGGAATGCCTCCATCGAACTTGTTACCGTGTAGAAACAAAAAAAGGAGTTGGGTCATATTACCTAGGGTTTTGGGGATCTTTCCGATCAGAGCATTGTCGTTCAGCTGCAGAAACCTCATGTTCGACCACGACCTCACCATCGCATCAGACAGACGTCCCGTGAATTTATTCTGGAGAAAATATTCACTTTGCAGGATCAGAGATTCCAGGAATGTTGAATTACTCAGCGCGTCCAAAGGACCTGTGAACTTGTTGCCCCCGAGGTTTAGACCGGTGAGCAAGCTGATGTTTGTTAAAGATCTAGGGAGCTCCCCTCCGAACATATTCCTATCCATGAAGATAGACTTCGCACTTGACAGCCTCCCAAGGTCCGTAGGCAGATTACCACTGAAGTTGTTCCTGCTGAGATCCAACGTCACCAAGTTTCTAGAAAACAAGACGAGCTCAGGAAATGGTCCAGTAAATGAATTCCCAGATGCATATAACCCTGATAATTCAGACCATGACGTGGAACTGAAAAAGTTTCCGGTGAAAAAGTTTAACGTCACATCGAGTACATTCAGCCGAGACAGATTTGCAAGTCCCACGGGTAGATGCCCTTGCAGTGCGTTGGATCCAAAATTAAGATATTTGCATCTGGTCAAGTTCCCCAGTTGATCTGGTATAGCTCCTGTGAAATTGTTCAGCTCAAAACTGAGATACTCCAGGTGTATAAGCTTTCCAACCTCCTCTGGGATCACACCTGTTAGATGCTTGTTGCTGAGGAAATCCAAGTACCACAACTTTGTGCAGTTTCCAAGGGACCTAGGAATGGTGCCTCTGAGTTCATTAGAAAAGCTCACGTCAATGGGATTCTCCGGATCCCAGTTATACACACTTCCGAGATTTAGAAACTGTAGTTCCGAGAGCTGCCCGAGCTCTTCTGGAATCGTTCCATTGAACCGCGATCCCTGAGAGCCAAGGTTCAGTATCTGCAGGCTTGTCAAATTCCCAAGCTCTTTAGGAATGCTTCCTTGGAGCCAATTATCTTCCAGTTTCAGGATTCGTAACCTCGAGAGCCGTCCTAACTCCGGAGGAATCTCGCCTTGCAGAAAGTTTTGATCTAGATGGAGCTCTTCCAGGAAGGTAAGATTGCACAACGAAGAGCCCAACGAGCCAGTCAAGTCCAGCGAAGACAAGTTGAGAGCAGTAACATGCAGCTGACGATTGCAAGTGACTCCGGTCCACGAACAGTAATCTGATCGCTTGCCAGGAGTCCAATCATCCAAGGCACCCTCCGAATAGTTTCCGATCCCTTCCTTGAACGCGAGAAGGGCATCAGCTTCCCTGAAAAAGGAACTTAACAGCTTAACTCAATCTGAAGCAGAATTGAATATTTGGCAATACGAGGTTTCATCTGGTTTTTCTGGTAACTTTGGTCACAATATGGAAAATATCAAACGAAAAATGGAGCCGGATTTTATCACTTACCCAAAGCTAACTTCCAGCAACGACACTGCGTGTGAGAACCCATGGGACCTGGAGTCGGTTTCATGATAATGGAAACATCCATCTGGAATGTGATGAATCTTTGAGGCATGCAACTGTAATCCTCGATGATCTGGATGATCTAGGTCCATATTCTTGAACTCTGCCGCACGCAGACGTTCATCGGAAAGAAGGTGGCCTTTACGGCTAGATTGGAGAAAAGTTTTCTCAGACTCGGCAGATGTTGACTGATGCGAGAGCGATCTAGAGGCTTCGGAAGGCCAGTTCTTTCTCATGCAATCCGTGGCAGAGGAGCCAAGGAGGAAACATGCAAGAAGTACAATCAAATGACCCGGCGCCATCTTGACATCAATGTTACGGTGGGATTGGAGGTTGGAATGATGCGACTCAAGTCTGACATTTATAGTTGCTGCTCCCAGAGGCCAGCTTTCGCTGTTTCTGAAGCAAGTGGTGATATGTCAACAAAGAGTTATTGAGCCTTCTCCCGTTTAGATGTGTTCATTGACTAAAATAAACTGTACCATCGAGCTTTTGGACTTTTGGACCGGTCTAAGATTCTAAGCATGAATGCCAACGGAATGAAGACCCTTAGTTTTATGAGCTCA